AGTTAGATCTGAAGACCATGGTTCTTACTGAAACACTGTTATCGTACATATCACGGATGAAGAATAATATTTGTAAAACATTTCTTTTTTCACATATGAAGGGTTTCACAAAACAATGGGTGAAGTGCCGATATGCAGAGAATTCGCTCCAAGGCAGTCTCATCACACATTACTGAAATAATCGATGTGACAGAATCACCCAAGTGCGTTCTCACTATTTGCAAATAATAATTGCCCTCATTTTGAATGCTTTCGCAGTCGAATTATTTACAGCCCTCTCGGTGAACAGATTTGAGTGGAGACTTGATGAACAAGCACTCACCCATTACCATTTTCCGTTTGAATAAACTTTTTCTGATGCACGTCTAATAAATTACTGCATTATCACTAACTCATACTGGGAACTCCTTTTCACCTCTCTCGTTTTCATCTCCGTTCCCCTTCTTATTCTATCGATTCCATCTTCTTACGTAATAATAATAATATATATTCTGAAAATAATATTTACAAAATTCACACCAGTTTACAGGCATGATCAGATTGTTATAAAAATCAACATTTAATGTAGAGAGCAAACATGAAATATAAGAAAGTTTTATGTTTGCTGGTTTAGTAATTGATAAATAGTTTATATATGGCAGGCCAATGCAACACCAGGGAACTTGTCATTTTTTCTTTAGTGGATAGCCTGATGTTCTGTAAGGTTATTTCTAGTGCCAAAGCGAGTTATTGATAATTATCTACAACTAGAGAAAGTAAGAATAAAGCAAAGAGCACGGAACAACAAAACAATGATAGCAAGTAAGAGGTTAAACATTTAAAGTTCCGATAATCTCACTTGTGGAGTAAGATACACTTGCAGGCGCTAGAGCATTTAATGCATTTTCAGAGGAGCAAAAAGCATTAATTGACCGAACAAACAATGGGAGAGAGTTTAACATACGGATAGTTTGAGGTAAATTATTCCATAGTCTAGAAAACTTACAGTCAAAGTAATTCATATAGAGAGAAGATCTAGAGTATGTTTGTTTCGCTAAAGACAAGGAGTTGCGAATATCGTATTGTGAGGCTTAAGCATATTGAATCGCCTGGCTGGATGTGAAGGAGAGTTTGTTAAGTATTTTGAAAAAGAAGATAAGGTTACGTTTGAGTCTCTTCTTCCATAAAGGGTCAAGACCTAGTTTACTACACCTAGAATTATATGTCAAGATACTATCAGTTCCAAGAGTACGAAGTGTAAATCGTCCCTGTACTGATTCCAGTCTCAATTTATCCTTTATGGGCGTGCTACTAAGCAGAAACGCACAGTATTCGAGGAGTGGTCGAACACAGACTTTGTACATTCGAATACGAGATTCACTGTTATGAAGGTTTCGAGTTATGTAACCTATAAGGCGTTGAGACTTGGACGTTTGTTTCATTATCTGTTCAGTAAACGACAAATCGTCGGAGTACCTAAGTCCTAGATCTACTACTGAGTGTAACCTATATAACATTTCCCCATTTATGGTAAGATTAAGGTTGAGTGATGTATCACCGAAGCATAACCATCCACATTTAGCTGTATTAAGCTCCAGTTGCCATTTCGAGCACCACTGTGCTACATTGTTAATCTCCGAGCTGATACAATTTTGAATATTGCTCAGCTCATGTAGAGAAAATGAGTACACTACCTTAAGATCGTCTGCAAACAAAAGGGACTTACCCACAATAAAACACTCACAAATATCATTAATGAAAACTAAAAAGAGCAAAGGACCTAAGACACTACCCTGAATTACCCCACTTCTAACAGGGACTGCGTTCGACAATAAAGAGTTGATTTTAACCATTTGATGTCAATTGCTGAGGAAGGAATCAAACTAGGCTAGTAAAGGGTTTTGGACCCCATAAGATGCGAGTTTACCTATGAGAAGTTGGTGGCTGACCATGTTGAAGGCCTTAGAAATGTCCAAGTATAGCACTAATACTAGATATCCTTGGCTACGAAGAGAATAGACTAAATTAAAGAAGTCAAAATGACATGTCATACAAGATCGACTTTTAAGAAACCCATGTTGAGAATCATCAATAAATTGTTCAGTCAATAAATAGTTGGATAGTTCGTCACTAATAATGTTTTCCATAATCCTAGAGATAACTGGAGTAATATTTATTGGCCGATAGTTGTTCATGTCAGTCTTATCTCCGCATTTGTAACGTGGTATGATGTACGCGGTTTTCCAACTGTCAGGATAAGAGCCTGATTCCATAGAGAGAGTAAACAGCTTAAGGAGAAGAAGTGGAATATCTGGACCACCATATTTGTAGAGAAATGATGAAATCCCGTCTGCTCCGTGACCTTTCGAAACCTTGAGCTTATTTATAACCTTACTAATTTTCAGACATGTGAAGGAGATAGATTTAATTGAGTTACCATTCATGCATATAACTCTAGAAACAGAGCCATTTATGGATTCTTTGCCATTCGCAAAATTACCACTGAAAAGGTCTGCTATAGTTTTTGGATCATATATAAAACTGTTATTATGCAGGACGCATGGTATATCAACATTTTGAGTTGATTTAGCACGTTTATTGTAAAGGTGGATTAGGTTTTGCACATTTGAGCTAGTGCTTAGTGCTAATAGCTCTTCATTAATAGCTTTTAACCTATGTTTCTCTTTTATTTGGTTAAAAATTATTGTTATTTGTGTGACTGCCGTGAAGACGTTAGATTTGAAATAACGTTTCTTTAGGCGTCTTAGTTTATTTCGATATTTAGCTGGTATATATAATTCGTAATTTTAACTAATCCTGTAAGTCTTAATTGGTGCACAGAAGTCCAGACAAGAGTTAACAACCAAATAGAATATGTTGATGGCATCTGTCAGATTATTACATGAGAAGAATTCATCCCAGTCTGACAGTTTGATCAGTGAGCGCAAGATGTCCCAGTTAGCATGCTTATAGTCTCTATAATTGCAGGTTCTTTGAATTGGTCGGTTGTAGTAGGGATGGATGTAGAGGTGTTATGTGAACCTCTTATTGTTTTACACAGTCATGTGAATTTGTATTCTAAGATTATCTCATTTTGCTACAAAGGAATTGCTATCTATGCAAATATTTAATCCACCAATATTGCAGGGATGAGACACTAGACGACGTTTCTTTCCATTGAGAACGTTGACGTTACAAATTCATTCGGATGTTTAATCGGAAACGAGATTCTTCTGTACAAAATTGCGGAATCCATTACACTAAGACATGATCTTGTATTTTTATGCGACCGTGACCGCTTAGTATCCAAGCCGCAAGAAGGCATCAGCATCAACTAATTCCATTATTGAATCGGAGGACTTCCTGATCGAGACACACTGCTTCTTGATAATACGATGATAACTTGTCTGAATATCAAAATATTTGGAAAAGAATTTTCACTATTACATGTCCAAATGTAAGCTGACTCATTTCAGTGTATATACACTAGGCTAAATGAAGTGACATCAGTATTCGGAGTAATCTTAAATTGTTTCGTTGGAGGTCTCACTCTTTCAAATATCGATTGTCACACATTTCCTCAACTATTCCTTTCCTTCTGTTGAATGTTCCGTGTTCTATTTATCATTCCGCGAGCCATGGTGCTGAATCCTTTTTTCACAGTACCTACTCCTTTTGTGCTTCTCTGTCTATTCTTCCATTATTTTTACGTTCTTACCTTGCAGTTAACAACCCTTAATGATGAGCAGGAAAAAGAGTAATAGGTCAATCACACTTCGTTGTATAATCCCACTGATTACATTCACAGGTTTACAGTTGTACCATCAAAGGCAGACGATTTGGCTACTTTCTGCTATAAAACGTTCTAGCAAGTATAAAAGGGGATTCCATATATCAAATGGAAAGAGTTTTAGAAGAAGAAATTTGTGTGAGATACTGTCGAAAGGTATACTTAAATCGAAGTACATAATTATTATTGACTGAACAACATCTCTTCTCCCAGTAATTTCCAGGTGCGATGTGAAGCTTGAGTGTATATTCAAAAACCAGTGTTGAGATTGACTAATCAGGCTAGCAGAAACTAACAGTGATAGTAACTGTTTGTAGATGATTTGTTCCATGATATTTTGAGAGCACAGATGTCAAGTTAATGCACCCATAGTTAGCAATATCACTATTTGATCCCGCTTTGTATCTTGGAGTCATAAGAGATGCATATATGTATATATAAACTCTACATCAGTGTGTTCACTGATTTATCAGCTATTCCGCGGTAACATAACGCAGGTTAGCTGATTAACTTATTTGCTCACAAATATAGATCACAATGATGAACGTGACGATCTTGATTTTGGTGATTTTGTCAGTCTTTATTCGCTAATGTTAGGTAATGTGATCACTCTGCGTTGCAAGTGTTATCGTCATACTATCGGATACATATGTTTACTTTTGCTTACCAAGAACTCAATTTAAGTAATCGCTGTTCATAGTTTTTTGATGTGTCTTCCACTAACGTGTAAGCCAGCAGAAATCTGAAGTATGTAGTTTGAGTTTGATCTGAAGACCATGGTTGAAATATATTCTTCATGTATGAAGGTTTTGACAAAACAATGGGTGAAGTGCCGATATGCAGAGAATTCGCTCCAAGGCAGTCTCATCACACATTACTGAAATAATCGATGTGACAGAATCACCCAAGTGCGTTCTCACTATTTGCAAATAATAATTGCCCTCATTTTGAATGCTTTCGCAGTCGAATTATTTACAGCCCTCTCGGTGAACAGATTTGAGTGGAGACTTGATGAACAAGCACTCACCCATTACCATTTTCCGTTTGAATAAACTTTTTCTGATGCACGTCTAATAAATTACTGCATTATCACTAACTCATATTGGGAACTCCTTATAATCTAACTTGTTTTCTCTTCTAATTCTATCGATTCCATCTTCTTACATATTAGCAATTGTTTATTTATCAATAGGTTTTTACAAGCATGCGCCTAGGTATTGGATATTAGATAGCGCGTTAACCGGTATTTAACGCTTCAACGCGGGCCATCCAGTTATTAGACGATGTAAGACTGATTATTTCGTCCCTGGTTGTAAATCTAGAAGGGAATTTATGCAGTTTGTGCCACGTATCTCTCAATCTGTTTTTAAACTTCTAAGCCATATATATCCCCCGTTTCATTGATTTTCGTGGTCGTTCAATACGTTCAGCTATTAGATTTGTATGAACACGTATTTGGTTATACTGCAGTGTTTAGGTCGAAAAATGAGGGACGGTCTGCTAATCCTTTCATGAATTAATGCTGTAAGTCATCCAACTGCTCCATATTCAGAATCCCGCCGCCTTTATTTACCGACCAGCATTCCTTGTAATTTGAATCTGGATTTTAGATATAAATATTTGTATATTTTCGTAGCGCTTCCATATTATTACAAATGAATTACGTCGACCGAAAATATACAGTCAGAATATATCTTCAGAACCATTGACCCTAATAGAGATCTGTAGATGTTTTCAAATGAGTTAATCGTTTTTATCAGACCTATCTTCTCATATGGTAAATTCCATAACTTATAGACTTTAACCTTTAAAGTGTTCAAGTTTACTTATTCCAAAAACCCTATTAAGATTTTAAGACTTTTTTGAAGCGAAAACCGGACAGTGGTATTGTTTCACGTTGGGTTTAATTCACTGTTTTGATCGTAAATTACGTATCAAAACTACCGTTTACACTTTAATTGAATTTATTTCAGTTAACGTGACATTGTATTTGTGTGTTTTGATCCTGCTTTTGTGTATTTACTGCATCAAAGCATTCTTGGTCGACTGAGGCTTGTTTATTTGATAAGGTTGTGATTTATCTTACATATCTACCTTGCCTATCATTTTGCTTTATTCTAAGATTGTCGGCTCTGTACACAAGTGTGGACAGCCATATTGCTTATTCCCCGTGGAAGAAGGGATGCGGTGTGACGATCGTAAGAAGTGGTTTCATAAAATGTGCACCCGCTTAAGCCCTGTTGCCTATAAAAGGTGCTCGAAACCAAATTTTCATTGGCTCTGTATGTTTTGTTGCTCAAGCAAGACATTACTCATTCAGGAAGCCATCAGCCTTCTAGCGTTAGCTAAAAAGGTCGAAGTAGGCCGTGCCGGCAACATGGATACTGATAATGAAGATTGTATCAGTGTCGTAAATGCTGCCATGGCAGGTACCAGACACCCAATTTCGCAACATGAAGCAAAAATTTGTACTCCGGTACAACCAGTGAAAGCCATGCCATTTAGTACTGAGGGACCAGTCGCTTTAGCAGCGACTGAGGACCCGGCTAGAACCACTATCGTCCAGAATAGTTCCAATCTGGATGCTGAGAATAGTGGTAAATGGATTACGCGGAAACGCAAAAGAGACGGAAAAATACCCAAAGAAAGCGCGCGTATAGTCGGTAAGTCATCGTTGGACTCACGTCCTGAGCATCAGGCAATTCCGCTCAAGTCCAAATGTAAGGAAATATTTAATACTATTGTGGATGGAAATAGTCTAACTTCACCAAATGTTGTTGGGAGTAACTCACTTGACCCACATGACACTGATAAAGAAAGCTAATAGCAAGAAGCCGGTAGCTAACCGGCAGGATCTGACATCACGGTCAAAGGCCGTGAACACGACTTTTAAGGCAGTTAAACAGGTGCCTAGTGTAATCATCTGGAACTTGGCAGAATCGAAAGACACCGATCCCGCTAAGAGACATGCCCACGACTTGAAGTTAGTCGGATCTCTCATCAGAAATATACTGCCAGAGGAGGTCCCAGGGGTACATATATCGAAAGTCATCAGACTTGGTAGGTATGTTGGAGGCGAAACCCAACAGAGAAGGATCCTCAAATTAGTACTCGGTAATTTTGAGGAAAGGGACGTATTACTAAATAACTCACGCAAAACTCGTGACTCAAACATTCGTATTCGACCTGACTGGCCACTTGAGGATCGGATCAAGTGGAAGAATGCCCTAACAGAGTTAAAAACTCGAAGGCTAAACGGTGAAGCGAACCTTACGATTAAGGGTTTTCGGGTAGTCAGGTCTTGGAAGCCAATGCTTCCGAGACCTGTGTGGGTAGAACGCATGTCTCCAAAAACACCCTAAATGTGTGTTATACGAATGCTCGTAGTCTTCAGAATAAGATGTCTGAACTAAGTTTTATGGTAGACGACTTAAATCCGGATATAATTGTTATCACCGAAACTTGGCTCACTGTAGATATAGACTGTTTTCCAGTCATTTCAGGCTACATCTGTGTCAGAAGTGATAGAGTTAGAAGTCGCAAGGGAGGAGGCATAATATTATATATTAGGGACCACTTCCGCATTAACTCGATCATATCGGAGGCGCATGTAAGTGGTACGTGTGAGGTAGTACGTTGTCTAGAAACGGGTTAGTGACGATAGGAGGAATATATCGTAGTCCGTGTTGTCTCGCTGACGACTTTATCCTAAAACACGTCTGTTCTTGGAGTAAAGCAGAATGTTGTCTCATCGTTGGAGACTTCAATGCACCCCATATAAACTGGATAGAGCTCACAGCTCCAGGTGGGGTTTTGATAGCGTCCTTCTGTCATCAATTATTCAATGTGCACTTGTACAATGTATCGTTAAGCCGACGCATATAGACTTGGAACATAATCCGTCATTGATAGACCTTGTCCTCACACACCACTGTGAAGATATCGTTGACATTCAACATCTTCCCCCACTGGTGAATAGTGACCATGTCGTACTTTCCTTTAAGTTCCGGATACATGGTATAGAATTTGCATCAGCTCCACCCCGTCCTAATATCTGGAGAGCTAATATTCCGGCAATCAGAGACTATGCTATCTCAATTGACTGGTCGGTCGATGCTGATGGATCGATTGATGATGCATGGAATAGGTTTAAGTCTACGTTCGAATCCGCAACTCAACCGTTTATCCCATGGTCAGCACGTAAGTTATCATATTGCCCTCCATGGATTAAGAAGGAAACCCGGAAGCTGTTGAAGCGTAGGAAACACTTCTGGGACTTATTCTTTTCAACAGGTCAGGCATCATTTAAGTGCGAATATAAAAAAATCCGGAATATATGTAAAAAGACCATAGCTAAATCCCGCACGGCTTACGAACGACAGTTGGCATACGATAGCCGTACCTGTCCGAAGCGACTGTTTTCGTACGTTAAAAGGCGGACGAAACGTAGTGATGGTATCCCCTCATTACTGTTAAGCGAAAATTCAGCTTTATTGGCTGATCTAGCGAAAGCGGAGTTATTTGCTAACTATTTCAGTGAAGTCTACTCTACGTGTAGTGTTACAACTACTTGTCCCGTTGACAATGAGATACCAGCCATAGGACCTTTACACGTGACAGAGGATATAGTTCTTCCTTTGATAACTAACCTAAAACCTTGTAAGATACCGGGCCCCGATGGGTTACACCCACGTTTGCTGTCGTCGCTTGCGGACATTATCTCAAGACCGCTCACGATGCTCTTCAACATGTCCCTTTCACAGGCTCAACTACCTAGAGACTGGAAAGACGCCATATTTAGTCCTATATTTAAGGATGGTCAGAGACGGATAGTATCTAACTACCGGCCTGTTAGCCTGACCAGCATATTGGTTAAGTTACTTGAAAAATTAATTCGGGCTAAGCTACTGATCCACATAGATTCGTACAATCTGTTAACTCCCGAGCAACATGGGTTTCGTAACAAGCATTCATGCTTGACTAACTTACTCATTGCGAGAGAGGATTGGACAGCTGCCCTAGACAACGGCCAGTCTGTCGACGTGATATTTATAGATTTTAGCAAAGCGTTTGATAAGGTTTCACACTTAGGTCTTATGCAAAAGCTCTCGAGCTTTGGTATAACAGGTGCTATACAGGAATGGATAGGAAGCTTCTTATGTGACCGCAGACAGAGAGTGAGAGTCAATGGAACTCTATCCGAATGGAAACCGGTCAAAAGTGGTGTACCCCAAGGCACCATTTTGGGCCCTTTACTTTTCCTTCTGTATATTAATGAACTACCTTTATTACTTAAGTCGTCGACGTTGTTGTTTGCGGATGATGTTAAACTCTGGAGAACAATAAGAAATGAGACTGATCGTTGTTATCTACAAGCAGATTTAGACGAATTAGTTAGGTGGGCTCATGATTGGTGCCTGGAAGTTAATTCCAGGAAGAGCGTGTTCATGCACATCGGGCACGATATTAGTTACCACTATACCATTAATGGTACATCTCTGCCACGCGTTCATGCGCATAAAGACTTAGGAGTAATTATAGGTCACGACTTAAAAACTACTACGCACTGCAATGCGGTTGCTTCCAAAGGCTATCGAGCGCTATGGTCGCTTCGCAGAGCATTTAAATACTTTGACGAGGATATGTTTCGAATTTTATATCCCACCTATGTAAGGCCACACTTAGAATACTGTATCCAAGCAGCTAGCCCTTGTCTGATAAAGAATACTAAATCGCTTGAGCGTGTCCAGCGTGTAGGGACAAAATTAATAGAGGGTCTTTCCAAACTCCCTTACGATGAGCGTTTAAAACGTCTAAATCTTTTCCCCTTATCTTATCGTAGGACGCGAGGTGACCTTATACTGGCATTTCGTATCTTTAATTATGATCTGGGTGTTAATATGTCTTACCTTTTTGCTCCCTCCAGCACTAATAATCTCCGGGGTCATAGCAAGAAGGTTCTGAAACCGCGATCTAATAAACTAAAGGTGGGGTCCCGTTTTTCTCATCGAGTGGTCAATGACTGGATCGCTTTACCAGAACAAGTGGTATCAGCACCATCAGTGAACATTTTCAAAAAGAAGCTGGACCTTCACTGGAAGGAAATCTGTCAGGATTAACACAGGTTCATCAACCTACTATCCTTATTACTGAAGACTGATCTTATGGAGTCATGTTCAGGATTAGTTTAATATATCATGATCATATCCATGACCATATCCCTGAATTCATTTCACTCTTCACTGTTGAAAATATGAGGCCAGTTGACCTGTGTTAGTCCTATTTCTCTTAAGGTGTTCACCCATGGGGTTGATACCACTTGTCCAGTCAAGACTATCCAATCGTTGACCATTTATTTAGGTCAGAATTTCATCCTCGGTTTGTTCGATATTGAGAGATAGTTAGAGAATGAGAGATAGTTAACCGTAGAAAAAAAAAGAAACGTAGGTCATTTTAGCATCCTAGTCACTACTTAAAATACAATTTGAACACAATACCACTCCACAGAACAATCAGATCATTTTTGAGGATTGTCACTTTTAAATGATTTTTATATTGTAATCAAGACGTCTTAGACAAAGTTTCACATGACAAAAAACAAATTGAACTTCGCTAATTTAGTGCTATGTGAAACAGATCCCGGAATTCGTCTTTAGATTTATCATTTGACTTGTTTCTAACAGTTAATAATATTTCTTCAGACAAAGAGTGGTTGTTTACGTACAGCACTCTGGCTTCGGACAAGAAAATACGTTACTAAGTGTCATAAACTCTTTGAATGCTAGGTTAATAAATCCGCGGGTAGCCTTACGGTTCCTCAAAGACTTTTACTAACAAACCTCCGATCATTATGCGTTTGAACAGTGAGTAATACAACATTATTTGTATAATTATCCATGTCTTCACGATCACTGTAGATCATGAAGCTTTTAGTGATAGTGTTCTGTATTTCATAAACACCGAGTCATTTAGTTAATATATAAAGGTCGTTCTAAAAACCTTGAATACCCCTATCACATCTTGTTCCCGCTCCCAGTCTTCGGGTATCATCTAAACATTACATTTTTACTATAGTAAGCCCCCAAATGCCCTGGTACAGCCGAGAGTGGGGAGAGTCCGCTCTCCCTCTCCAAACGCTCTCACATGGCCACGTGTATATAGCCTTTGCCAGGGAAGTCCTACTCACTGCCTTCTCGTGGCAAGGGAGTTGTTGACGAAATTGAGAGGACGAAAAGCGAAAGTCTGGCGAATAACCGGGCTGGTGGACACGGAGAGTCCACCTAGAGGAGTTGGAAAACCCTGATTACAAACCAATGGTACACATGGGCTGGCTCTAGTATCCTGAAGGAACAAATGGCGTATGAACCAACCGTTGATCACCGGCTACGATGGGACTGCATCTCTTTACGATGCTCCACTGCCTTGTGGACTAGACCTTTAGATCAAAGGCTCCGGGTATGGCCCTCTAAGAAAACCACCTGCTTCAGTTTGGGCACCTGAACAGTGTCATAGCCCTCACACAAAACGAATGAGATTTGTGTGGTGCATATGTATCTGGTGCTTCTTTGTACCAATATTTATGTGTTGAAATAAATAATAAATAAATAAACATTACAAAAACAATGACTTCAATAACGACTTCGATGACCGTTGAAAAATGCCTAATAGGCAACTACTATCCATAGAAATTTATTGGGGAATATAAGAAGACCTAAAGAAAAGAAGACAGAAGTGACTACGGTCAATAAAAATCGGATATCTAGGCATCGCAATTTCAAAGGTGATGACGTTGCAAGCGCAATCATCAGAGGGCTTAGCACTGTATTAGCCAGAACTTACCCAGCAGCCAAACTATTAATTCTGTATAAAACATGTTTAGTAACCTAGTCAAAGGTCAACAAGCACCCCTTTTATGTTACCGCCAACTGTATTTCTAAGTTTACGTGTGCCTGCCAAAGCAGTTACATTGGCCGAAAAGATAGGAAGGCATATATTGGATTTATCAAACGTGTTTTAAAAAAGCCTCAAGAAAAGAGAAAGAACAACTCTAAACAGTGTAGTTATCAAACATCTCTTGGTTGCAGGTGATTAATAAACAGCCAAACTTCAGTTTTCTGAAGCCGTCGCTATCAGGCGTCGAAAACCTGATTCATGTGTTCAAAAGACGGTGGTTATTACTTTTCCATTGCCTTGGTGACAAATATTCATTCGTTGGATCTTAAAAAAGAAATGTTTTAAAACTTTCTTGTATTTGTTACGTTATTGTCTTTTTATTTAGACTGTTTCACAGATTAGTAATCTTATTTTATGAAGTAAGCTTTGTTCAGTTCATTCCTATCAGCGTTTACTCATTATGTAGTTAGTTTCCGGGCTTTTGAACTCTTGTTTCAACAATGTTGTAGAACGTTCTTTTACATAAGGTATGTATTTCCGATATTCAGTCTCTTGAGTTTACTTACACCCTTGCTACACTATACTGATGTGTCTTCATAACAACTTCCAACTAAACTCTTTTATGTAATTAATTTAAATGCATTTTGTAATTATGTTTTTAAATACCATAGGTTGTAATTAGCTGATGAGAACCAAATAAAATAAGATGAATTCATGCTATTCTTCTGAAATCTTTGTCTTTTGCTTTCTTCAAAATGAAGGGAACTATGTGTATGAGACTTCAAAAACCTAGAAGCGTCATCTGTACGAGTAACATTGACCCTAAGACAGCACCCTCAGGTATTCCGCTTAACACTTAATGGCATAGAGCCGCCTTTCAACTACAGTTATTAATTGTCCCATAGTCCTATTTTCGTTTGGTTTAGATAGTCCACTTAAGGTTAACGAAGATCATAGCTTGGTGGGCTCTTAACGGCACTCGCATGTCATGAACAATTTACTAAAGAAAGTAATCTGTTTAGTTCCCTATTTATTTATTTAAACACATAAATATTGGTAGAAGGGAGCACCAGATACATCTGCGCCACTCAAATCTCATTTGATTTGTGTGAGGGCTATGATACTGAGCGGATGCTTAAACCAAAACAGGTGGTTTCCTCACAGGGCCACACCCGGAGCCTTTGACTTAAAGATCTGATCAACAAGGCCGTGGAGCATTGTAAGGAGATACAGTCCCATCGTAGTCGGTGACCAACGATTGGTTCATATGCCATTTGTTCCTTCAGGATACTGGAGCCAGCCCATGTGCACCATTGGTTTTGAATCATGGTTTTCCTACTCCCTTAGGTGGACTTTTCATATCCACCAACCCGGTTAAAACGCCAGACATTCGCTTTTCGTCCTCTCAATCTCGTGAACAACACCCCTGGTGTGAGAAGGCAGTGAGTAGGACTTCCGTGGCAGTGACAGTACACGCGTGGTCATGTGAGAGCATTTGGAGAGGGAGAGCGGACTCTCCCCACTCTCGGCTGTACTAGGGCATTTGGGGGCTTAGTTCCTTACTACCGTCGGTATAGTGACTTCCATTTTTCTGCCGTTCATTTTGTTAACTCTTCGTCCCTCCCCGTCTTTGTCCAGTTTAAAACAAGGCATATCTGTACCAGGTAGTTTGTCATTTACTAATTCACTAGGTTATTTATTATGTTTTCCTATTTGTTGTTTGTATAAGATTTCATCTGATTCATTATATTTACTCTAGTGTTGTTATAATTGTGATTGTTGCTATATAAACGACCCAACTATTCCTATTGCTTAGTATTCTTATACGATGACACTCGACAAGACCCCAAAATCAGAACACGTTGAACAGGAATGAAATTGTATTCAAAATAATAATGGTATGTGAACAGCAACCAATAGTTTAAATATCGTTCATATATTTATAGTTTATACATAAGAAGCTTATAGATTTTTCTGCAATAATATGCCCTAGCTGATCAGTTTAAAATTAACCAATCAGCGCGCAACAACACCATCATGCATAAAACATGCTTAATCCAATCTATATCCCACTAATAATTGTTGATTATTTTATAATCATCTGTAAAGTATATATTCAAATCATAGTTTATATATTTAATAATGATTTAGGTCTGAAGCTAATAATTTTGAATGGGAATTATCTAAAGAAAATATAAAACCATTAAAAAGTGGTCGATCTGTTGAACTTTTAAATAAAGTACTGACATCACAACGATCAAATGAATTTCAATTAAGACGTCGTCTTTTAAGAGAGTAAGTTTATATATACATTTCTCTATTTATCATTTTTATCATTTTATAATTTCGTAACTATCATTTTTACAAATAATCCTTTTGTAAGATCATTAAAATTGAAAACGAAATCAGCAAGATTTGAGTAGTTATGGTGATTATTCCTTAATTGTCAAAAACTCAGGTGTGCCTGGTCCTACGTTGTAGCTGAATGACTGTGTGTTTTTGATTAATTTTATATAGTTAGCGTTTCTTTAGCGAGTTGGTTTTCTACGGGACAGGGTCGTTGACCTCATGCCCAACCCTCCTCCTTTATCCGGGCTTTGGACCGGGAGTAGCCCCCCGGAGGAGATACAGGCGGAATTAGCTGACTGACTGACTGAGGTGTAATTAAGTTTGATTTTCAATTTTAATTACATTGATATCAGTATAATTAAATTCATCTTAATCAATAATTACGTACCAAATTAAAGTAGTTTTTAGTTACATTAAGAAGATTATTTTCATCAATAAACTAATATCATTTTTAAGAATCAATATTGTCAATTTCGGTTACTAATCGTGTTCATTATTAACTAGTGACTGAAATGGGTTTCATGAAATTTCAATGTTAAATCCTAATCAATTAACGTAATTATGTTGGATGTGCAACACTTTAGCCAACTCTTGCTCTTGGTTTCATAGTTACTGTTATATCTTAGTGAAGATTAAAGTACGAGTTACTCCTAGGATCTATTAATGGACTATTATTCTATATATATTCTTATTGTATAACTATTCAGTGATTAGATTGTAGGTATTATCATTTATTTATTTATTTAAACACATATATATTGGTACAAAAGGGCACCAGGTACATATGCGCCACACAAAATAATGAAAGTAGGAAGAGAAGGGATGAAAAGATAAGAATTCATCATTTCATTTATTTGTGTGTGTGGGCTGTGATACTGCCAAGGTGCCCAAACCGAAGCAGGTGGTTTTCTTAGGGGGCCACACCCCGAGCCTTTGACCAAAAGGTCTGATCCACAAGGCAGTGGAGCATCGTGAGGAGATGCAGTCCCATGGTAGCCGGTGATCAACGATTGATTCATACGCCATTTGTTCCCTCAGGATACTGGAGCTAGCCCATGTACACCATTGGTTTTGAATCAGGGTTTTCCAACTCCCCTAGGTGGACCCTCCGTGTCCACCAACCCGGTTAAATAGCCGGACATTCGCTTTTCGTCCTCCCAATTTTGTAAACAACACTCCCACCACGAGAAGGCAGTGAGTAGAACTTCCCTGGCAGAGGCTATATATTCGCTGGCCATGTGAGAGCATTTAGAGAGGGAGACTAGACTCTCCCCACTTTCGGCCGTACCAGGGCATTTGGGGGCAGATTGTAGGTATCTATATTTATCTTATTATAAGCTTCATTTTGACGTATAGATAATTATTATAAGATTTGCTGTTGCTAAGTTATACTCAGTTTATTAAATACCATCTCTCACGTTCACAGCTACATTTTTGGCTTGATCTTGTACAAATGTTATTTCCTATTTTATGGCGCGATGTAGTCTGTTTGATTTGTATATAAACCCAGTATGTCTGAACTATACGATTCATATCGTGGAGGCTGTTATTGGTGTTCTGGACTCAACTGGAAGGTCTAGGAGAACAAAGGACCAATAAGGACGCTAGGCTTTTCATACCGGTCGAACGTTATTGGTTTAGCAGAGTGCTAAGATTGGATAAGTGTTTCGATTGTGAATAAATTGCGTAATAAAAAACCCATCTGACGTGTCGTTACGTTCTGTGTATTCCAAGGTCAGTAATAGATTATGTATATGAGATAAGCTAAACTACAATTTCGTACTTTTTCGAGGATAGTTGAGAACTATCATGCAAAAGATATCAGGTGCTATTGGTAACATTTTCAGTGTTCACCAAGTGTGTTGTATTCACCACTGTCGATCATTTTCTCACTCATTTGGTGGCTGTCAGTCAGTCAGCTAAAACGTAGGACCAGGCACATATATGCATCGGTCCAAGTTGCCATACCTCGTTAGCACAACAAGAGGAACACCGGATTCATAGTATTTTATTTAGTGTTGGTAGTAGTATATAAATTATAGGCTGTATATAAGGATATAGTACAGGAAGGAAGAGAGATATGAAGCAATTTTAGTCTCAAGGTTTAAGGGAAGATAAAGAGTGTATACACTTACGCCATTGTGATCGATTCTGAGCCATGTTACCTAGAGTCTCCAACCATTGGTTACGATAGTCACGCGGACCCCAACCAGGTAGTCTGCATCTGCCAACATGGCTCAGGCTAGAAGTTAGTGACTTCAAACACTGATGCCATGTTTTGGTTTGGCCGCCCCTAACTCTCTTCCAACCGTCCCCAATACTAGTCATCATAGAGCGTCGTGGTAATCGGTGTTCAGGCATACGTAACACATGGCCCAACCATCTCAGTCGATGAAGATTCATCACCTCATCAACTGATTTACTATCGTTCCCTAATACCCTGCGTCTAACCTCACTATTACTTACCAGGTTATCCCAGCAGATGCGAGCAATATTTCTAAGGCATCTGTGGTCAAATACTAGTAACCTACGAGTATCTTCTACTCTTAATGGCCATGTTTCACAGCCGTAAAGTAGGACAGAGCGAACTGATGCGCAGTATACTCGTCCCTTAATTGATAGACGGATATCTCGTCTACGCCATAGGTGACGTAAGTTGGCAAAAGACAAACGAGCTTTTTGAATTTGTGCTGAAATTTCGTCAGACACCAACCCATTAGAGCTGATCAGACTTCCAAGATAAGTGAAGTTGTCGACGCATTCGACTACTTCACTCCCTATCCTTAGTTCGAGTGTTGACGCAGGCCAGTCCTGGAGTAACAATTTACATTTGGATGGGGAGAAACGCATCCCAAACATCCTGGCATTATTACTGAGTTCCAACAGAAGACTCTGCATTTTGCCAGCGTCTTCACCAAACAGGACTATATCATCTGCGTATTCTAAGTCGCTTAGTGGTCCCTCTGGTAGGAGATCAATTCCTGAAAATTCAGTCGACGAGAGTGTTATTTCCAGCAACAGGTTTATAATGAAGTTAAACAAAAATGGGGATAGTGGACAGCCTTGACGGACACCACTTGAGGTTGTAAAATCATATGACAGTTCGCCATAAGCTCTCACTCGACTAATAGTGTTCGAGTAAAGAGCCTTCAAAAGGTTTATGTACTTCTCAGGTACACCTTTCAATGACAGACACTGCCACAGAACCTCTCGGTCTACAGAGTCAAATGCTGCTTTCAAGTCAAGAAAAACTATCATTGTCGGACGCCGATAAGCATGTCTGTGCTCTAAAACATGACGAATGGTGAATATGTGGTCGATACAGCCACGACCAGGTCTGAAGCCAGCCTGATTTTCTCGTGTTTGCAGTTCACGAGTCTTAGTTAGGCGCCCGATAATTATTGAGGCTAGTATTTTAGATGCTATGTTAGTCAGACTGATCCCTCTATGGTTACCGCAGGATGATTTTGACCCCTTTTTATATATTGGGACAATCAGTGATTGTGACCAGTCGGATGGGATTACATCCGTCTCCCAGATTTTAGCTAGAATATTAGTCATCCTAATCGCTAAAATTGGACCACCGTATTTAAAAACCTCTGGAGCCAATCCATCTGGACCAGCTGCTCTTCCTCGTTTCAGATTACCTATAGCCTTTTGAACTTCAAGTAGGGTCGGGGGGCCTACTTCAATGTTCCATTCAGGTTTTCTGGGAATAGTGGGTAGTTGTGCAGTAGCTGAAGGCCAGCTAAACTGCTCCTTAAAGTGTTCCGCCCATCGTTCTAAACGTTTAGGTTGAGAGCAGATAAGGGTTCTGTCTTTTTCCGAGATTGTCTCACTTACACTTGACTTCTTAATTCCGGTTTCTTTTATTAGTCTGAATAGTTGCCTGGTGTTGCCTACAGCCGTTGCCTTTTCCATCTCTTTTGCTTTCGTTGCCCACCACTGTTCACGATCGTTCCTTAGGCTTTTAGTTAACCTAGATCTAATTTGTTTACGCTCTTCGTCATGTTCAGAGCCTGATGGGATGAGTTTACGCGAATCCATCAGTGAAATAGACTTAGAGGAAATCCACTGGTTTTTTGGAGCCCTATGGTTTAAATGACCAATAGATGTTACTGCTGTTTCCACAGCTGTTCGTATGTCTTTCCAAGCAGCATCTGGGTCAGTCTCGTTTACAGAACTGCCTAGATGTGAACTCAGTTGTTTCTGGAATTCGCATTTGGCTTTCTCGTCCTCCAGTTCAATCCTAATGGGTCTTCTTAGTGTACTTTTCCTGCGTCCATTGAGGCGCAGACAAATGCGCGCTCGTATTAAAGCGTGATCAGAGTCTAAACAAGTATTCCAATACGAGCGACAATCTTCTATTGAGCCTCTCCAACGATGACTGATGACAATATGGTCTATTTGAGTCCATCGTTGGTTTGGTGCAGGTGGTCGCCATGTTAGACGATGTCTCTCCTTATGTTTAAAATTAGTGCTTGCTAAAAATAAACGATTGTCTGAGCATAGTTGCAACAGACGATCACCATTATCGGTTCGTTGAGCCGGAATACTAAAACACCCACCTAAATGTCTTTCTGTTTGATTTAAGCTGCCTACCTGGGCATTAAAGTCACCCGCTACGACTACTATGTCTGAGCGCTTAGCTTTCTGAAGAAGCTCAGAGAGTTTTCTGTAAAAGTCATCTTTTACTTCATCATGGCTGCAGTCAGTGGGAGCGTAGGCAGAAACGACGAAAAGGCAACGACGTGTGTCCCTATCCTTCCGAGTTCTTATGGAGCCATTTAGCCGGACAGCACACAGGCGACTGTTAACGGGGATCCATTCTAGTAGTGCCTGTTCTGCCCTTGTACTTAGTGCTATGCCTACACCTGCAAGTCCGCGAGAACTAGCCAACGGGTCGCCAGATACACGGAGGGTGTATTTCGTCGGCTGTCCATTTT